ACTAGATGGCAGTAGGCCGAGAATCTTCAGCCTTCAGCCTTGCTTTGCTTGTCTTATGAACAGATTGGGGAGCTCAGGTTTTGTTGTCACATCTGTTTTGTAAGCTGTACTGCCTAGCAAAACAAAGTTTCTGTACTTTGACAAGTGTTTTGTAAATCTCATAGGGACAGGGGTCAGCATGCTGTCACTGCTCAAAGACATGGTTTGTGCATAAGAGGCAGAGAGCCAGTCACACCCCAAACGCACACGCAATAGGAGTAGAAATGAAGGGACAGTGGGGAAGTAACATTGATTGTCAGGTCACACACAGCAGCGTTTCCTCCTCAGTCCTTGTGTGGGGAGCTTGGTTGCCCAGGGGCATTTGTTTTCATTGCCAGGCTGGAAGTACTTTTCACAGAAACATTGGTGCCACATGGGAAGGGGAAGGGCTGTTTCTGTTTATCCCCTTCCTCTGTTGCTGTAGCTTGCTAGACCACAGTGAGTCCCCATGCACAGAGCTTGTTCTCTGACAACTCCTTGGGGATGGGAAGGAGGGGTTGTTGTGGGTTAACCCTGGTATGCAGCTAAGTACCACACAGCTACCTGCTCACTCCCCCTTCCTTGCCCAGTGGGGCGGGGGAGGAGGAAAGGAAGACCCCCAAGAAAACCTGTGGGTTGAGGTAAAAATAGTTTAATAAGCAAAAGAGAAGTGCAAGAAGCAAGAAAGAGAACAAAACAAGTGATGCAAAGGCAGTCATCACCACCTCCCACGAGTAGATGAATGCCAAACCGGTTCCTGAACAAAAAGATGGCTAACCCACCTAAACCCCCTCCTCCATTTTATTGCTGAGCATGAGATTGTATGACAGGGAATATGGTTAGTTCGGGTCATCTGCCTGCTGTGTGCCCTCCCAAACTCTTGTGCACTCATAGTATAGTCACATCTAAAACACAGCACTGTATGAGCTGCTATGAGGAAAATGAACTCCATCCCAGCCACAACCAGGACAGGGGTTCTTCCTTAAGTTTTTTTATTCATTCCAGTTTAGCTGTCCATCGAGCAGCCCCAGGAGGCTTTGCAAGCTTGCCCAATACTTCCTGCTTGTGCTTTGTTTTTCTCCAGAGAGCCTGCCGGCAGGCTTGTTGAGGTCTGCATGCTGTGTTGCTAAGCTTGGGAGGCTTAAAAAGTAGGAACACAGTGGTTTGATGTTCAGGAGCTTTTTCTTTTTTTCTCCACAATTTCAGAGAGCTCCTTCCCACTCCTCTGGTATTTTGGAGCGATGTTACTGGGCAATTCCCTGGTTCCCACAGAATGTCAGCAGATGCACAGGTCATGCCAAGTTCTTCTGGCATTTTATTGCACTTCATGTTAGAGAGCAGTATAAGGGCAGGGCGCAGGCAGTATACTAGGCCACAGGAAAACAGCAGCACAGAGGAAAGACCACTGAAGATGTCAGAGCAACTCAGAGCACTGTTCCTGCCAGCTGGTGTGGTTTCATCCAAAGCATCCCTCTTGCAGCTGGGAACTCATTGCAGTGTTTGCATTCACTTCATGATGCCCAGGCAATGTGTGGATGCAGGTATTGTACTGTAGCAACCTGATTTGAGCCAGAGTAAAGTGCACAAAGGGACAAGTTGTGCCCGTTTCCTGGGGGTCTGTTGCACACAGTGGAGCAGGTGCTGTTGATAACTAGTTATTTGTGCCAAAACAGGAAACAAGCACATTAGAAACTTGGGTTCTCACATGACACTCTGTCCCTAGGAAGTCTCTGCTGACATCTACTGGCGTAGGGCTGCGCAGATTTAAGGCACAAACTGTCAAAAGTAGTTATAGCCTAAGAGATATTTGGCTAGTGATTTTGTTTGCTGGGAGCAGTTATTCTGTGCAGCCCTTGTGATGTGACATCAACGAGGCAGCATGTGAGAATTTTCCTCAGTGCTTTTAGCAAATCCTAGCTGAGAATGCTAAGAAGACATGAGAGCCATTGTGCGAGGTCCATCAACTGGTTCATCCCTGGATCTAAGGTTGTATAAAATCGTCTGGAAGGACATTCCATGTGCTCCTGAATGCAGGACATAGGATCAGCATGCTGTGCACCTGATATGTGTCCTCTGAGCCTGACTGGAGCTAGAAAGCTCATCTCAGAAATCTTTGCTTTTACAGTGTTTTTACTTGAGTGAGTTGAAGCATCCAGGTAATCCCTAAAGGAATGTTTTTGGAGTTGGTTCCTCTGGGTGAGTGACATGGGTTGCCTGCCAGTGTTGCAGACACAGTGTCTCCGCTCTTAGGAAGCAGCTTTTTCATTTACCTCTGTAAAGAAAGTAAAGCTTAACCAGAAATGTTTGCGGCTGGCATAAGTATTTGCATATGATGACTGTTGTGAAGCAGTGAGTGCCTGACATGATGTGTTTTACTAGCAGAGAAGGAAGATTGGTTTTTGCTCTGTGGTCTTTGTCAGTCTTCGATGAAGGGAATGAGGTCTAGGCTGCAGAATAAATGGAGGAAGGCTGATACCTGGTAGAACTCCTGAATCTTCAGGTGGTGCAGAACCCTTCTGGTCCTTCAGGGACGAGACTGGAAAATTGTGGCTGGCATGGATGGCTTAACATGAGTGTCTTGCTCCGTGCAAGAACATTTATCCGCTTGCATGGGTGTGCCTGTGCCAAGGGGCTGCTGAATGTGGAGTCTCTGGCTATTGCTGGGAGCCCATTTTCTTCAGACTCTGCTGTAATAAAACAAAAAATTACATGTGTTGTCAAAGGAGGCACATGCCAGAAATGCAAACTGGTGCCCATGAAACAACACTTATGCTCAGTTTGTCAGCCATGCAGAGTTTAAATGCCATGCTGACCTGGGGATGTTGTAGTAAGCTGGTACATCTGCGTGCAGATGCTTTTCACTGGATCCCAGCTGCAGAACAGGACACTGATAACAGCTACACCTCTGGAGCTAGCTTATCTGGTATTATTTAGATCATGCAGCAGATCCTCCTGGAAACTATGCTAAAGCACCTGGAAAATAAGGAGGTGCTGCTGACAGCCAACACGGCTTCACTAAGGGCAAATTCTGCCTGACAATTTTGGTGGCCATCTACAATGGAGTTACAGCATTGGTGGATGAGGGAAGTGTAACTGAAGTCATCTACCTGGACTTGTGCAAAGCATTTGACACTGTCCTGTACGACATCCTTGTGTCTAAATTGGAGAGACATGGATTCGATGGATAGACCACTCAGTGGATAAGGAATTGGCTGGATGATCATGCTCAAAGAGTCGCAGTCAACAGTTTGATGTCCAAGTGGAGATCAGCGATGCGTGGCATTCCTCAGGGGTCAGGACTGGGACCGGCACTGTTTAACATCTTTGTTGGCAATATGGACAGTAGGATTGAGTGCACCCTCAGCAAGTTTACCAACAACATTGTGTGGTGTGGTTGACATGCCAGAGGGAAGGGATGCCATCCAGAGGGACATTGTCAGGCTTGGGAGGTGGGCCCATGTGAACCACATGAAGTTCAACAAGGCCAAGTGCAAGGTCCTGCACATGGGTTGGGGCAATACCAAGCACTACAGGCTAGGTGGATAATGGATTAAGAGCAGCCCCTGAGGAGAAGGATTTGGGGGGTGCTGGTGTATGAGAAGCTCAACATGAGCTGGCAGTGTGCGCTTGCAGCCCAGAAAGCCAACCGTGTCCTGGGCTACATCAAGAGAAGTGTGAGCAGCAGGTCGAGGGACGTGATATTCCCCCTGTACTCTGCTCTCATGACACCCCACCTGGAGTACTATGCCCAGCTCTGGGGTCCCCATTACAAGAAAGACATGGACCTCTTGGAGTGAGTCCAGAGGAGGGTGACAAAGATGCCCAGAGGGCTGGAAGACCTCTCCTCTGAAGACAGGCTGAGAGAGTTGGGGTTGTTCACCTAGAGAAGAGAAGGCCCTGGGGAGACCTTATAGCTGCCCACTATAAGGAAACCTACAAAAAAGCTGGAGAGGGACTGTTTACAAGGGCGTGTAGTGACAGGACAAGGGTTAATGTAGTGACAGGACAAGGGTTAATGGGTTTAAACTAAAAGAGAGTAGATTTAGATTAGATATTAGGAAGAGACTCTTCACTATGAGGGTGGTGAGACTCTAGAACAGATTTCCCAGAGTGGATGCCCCCTCCCTGCAAGTGTTTAAGGCCAGGTTGGATGGGGCAAGGGGGCTGGAACTAGATGATCTTTACAATCCTTTCCAAGCCAAACCATTTTCTGATTCTATGATTACTGAGGGGCTCTGTTATACAGTAGTGCACTGAGAGCATGAGGCTGCATTGCCTGGATCTTTCATGGTACTAATGACAAAAATGTATGACTGTGTGCACCAAGACTGTTCAACCTGCTGCACCAAGGACGGATGAATTTCAGAGGGCTGTGGGTGAGAAACTGTGGGGCTAGACACAGCACAACATTAACTGTGTGCTGTGCTGCTCAGTGCATCTCAGAATACCCCACAAGTATCACAGATACCGTGATTACCAGCCAAGCTGATATTTGTTGTTGCAGGCATTTGGACTACAGCATCACTGTAGGGATAGTGGGGAATTTCTGATTGCTTTTTGGTACACTGGGAAGCATCCTGAATATTCACTGGATTTTGACTGTAGACAGAGCCTCCCACTGATCCTTTGAATAAAATTACTTGGTTAGCTGCCCTTCAGCTGCTAAATGCATGAACATGTAGTCTTGAAATGCATAATGCCATAGATTTAAAGATGAAAATGGTTTTTTTCACTATAGGTTTCCCTAATATTGTCAAGGTGGTACTAATTTGTACAGCTCTCCTAATCTTACCAGTATAGCCACCAGGAGCAGGTGAAATGTTGAAATCCTTATGTTTCATCACTACTGGCCTTAATAAGCCTCATAAACTGAATGTTTCAGTAACATACACCCCTATATGGAAAGCAAGCTGGATACTGATTTCTGTTTTTTGCAGATGTTTTTACAAAACTGTGGTTTATTTTGTTTCATTGCTGTATAGGAACTCATGGCATTGTGTTTGAAGGATCTAGAAGAGAGAAAAGAGCAAGAAGCTGGTAACAGAAGGAGCATAGAGCAGGCTGCTAATGATCTGAAGGTAAAACATGATTTGCTTCTTCACTGGATGGTCATTTTCCAAGGAGAGACATTTTACTTTCCGTGTAGCTATTCAAAGACTGAGGCAGCTATTGCTTCTCAGGATAAGAGTGTATTCCCTGTATCCATCACAACATATTACTATCATGAGTCTCCAAAGGCCTGGCCCTCACTCCCTGATCAGCTGAACATCTCTGAAAGAACAATGTTGAAATTTTTGTGCAGAGGAATAGCAAATAGCTCCAGCAGCATATGTTATTCTGGCTTCACTGATGCATGTTGCATTGCACTGAACTGCATTATTGAATAATCTGACTTCAGAGTTAAGTAAACATAGGAAGAGCTCTATTGATTCTGTCTTAAGAATGGGAATGCATGCTAAGCTCCACCTCATTTATAGACCATGAAATCATTTTTGCTCTAAGGAGCATCTCTAAGCATCTCTGTTACAGAAATGTCAGTAAGAGCTGGAGGGAGCTCTGTAGAGGTTTGGGACACTGCAGTTTGATGTCACTTCATTTTGGAGGCCTTCGTTTCCTAGCAGCTTCCTGTCCCTAGCTTGCTTTAAAAGGAGGCAAAGTCCTGCTACCAAAGGACCAGCTCTGCTGCTTGTAGCAGTTAGTACCTGACCCTGTTACACTCCAGCTGAAAATAGCGTTTTCTGCGTAAATAAGCATCTTGCAACCTGCCCTCAAGCTTTTTCGTCCAGGACATCATCAGGTAAATCCTGCTGCACTCTTTAAGGGGTAAACACCGATTTCTGAAGAGATGCAGCAAATCAGTAAAATTCAACCAAAATGTAACATTGAAAGCCTGGGAGAGAAATGCCTGACATTTTAATGGTCTGTTGACTATGGGGGGATGACACTCTTCTGCTTAATCTGTAGGCACATGCCATTATTAGCAAAAAGCAGCTGTCAGACAGAGTGACTGAGCTCCAGTTGCTACTTCGGGAAGAGGAGCGTCTGGCAAAAAATTTCATTGATGAAAAGGCTCAGCAAGCCCTTGAAGCACATGATCAGCAGTTGGAGTCCTGCCAGGAAAAGCTTGCAGCCATGGAAACCTTGTCACATCGTATCAGACAAATACAACAGTACAGTGATCCTGTTGAGTTGCTGGAGGTGGTATTGTACGGTCTCTTTCTAACTCTTTCTTGTCCTCATAGTCCCTGGTAAACTGCTCTAGTGGTCTCTTCTGCAGATCCTTATGTATGTAAGCAGCATCTTTCTCACTGCTTTTTAATCTTTTTGTTGGTATTTTGGTGAACCAGTTTGGTTCCTGATTTTTGAGCTGTAAGGTGTTCTGCTACAGTACGGATTTCAGATCTGTATGAAATTAATTTTAAGCATACATGGAACAGAATTATGCGTGTCTCTTCATCTTGAAGACAAATGCTGTGTCAGGTCTTCCCTTGTGCAGTGTAATATGAAGGTCTGAGGAAAGGCAGCCCTCTTGGGAACCTTAGAAGGAAGGCAAAATTGTCTCATTTCTTTAATCACAAGAGATCCTAATGACTGAGCAATAGCCATGGTGTTACTGGAAGGGGAAGTGTTTTTATTGTTGCGTACAGATAAATGTCAGCCTCTCTTCACCTTCTTCATATTCTTCGCCATATTCTTCTTCACCTTCCCTGGGAATGGTGTTTTGCCATGTGCTTATGCCCTGACACAAGCCAAAGGATGCCATTCAAAATGGGAAGGCCTGTGATGCGTTTTTACATCCTTGCAATGTTGCATTGTTGTGAAGGATAATGGCCCTGGCATTCTGCTGTGTGTGCTAGCAACATACCTCCACATGGGAAGCTGCTCTTCATTGTTCTGGAGAGATTTGTTTTGTGGAGGAGGTTGGGTTTTATTCTTTAGATTGCTTTTAAAACTTAGTGGTTTAATTTTCCCATTGTTGAGATTTCCCACAAAGGGTCCTAACCAGGATAAACTCATTCTCATCTTGGAGTATCCTGGAGACCCCTGTTTTAGCTGTGACTGCTGGGTTCTCTATCTCTGGGGTAGCCCCTGGCTCCACTGGCAGGAGGAGCTAATGGGCAGGCTAATGAGCTAATAGGTAGGCTGAACACAGCAAGACTTGCCTGTTATGGCCCATATGTATACCTAGTGATGAAGCTCTCCTTGTTTTCTGGTGTGTGGGATCTGGGAGGGAAGAGTCCATTCATGTCACTGTCTCTACTAATTGCATAGTTTGGCTTTCTGCCCTCAGAAGTACACAGAAATCAAGAAGGAAATGCAGGAGTCCATGCACCTGTTAGAACAGTGGCATCCGATACCTCTCTCGTTTGAACACATACTTAACCATTATAAGCACTTTGTGACAGTTCTTCAGTCCATTCTACAGAAACCACTAGAAGTGCGGCTTAAAAAAGGTACCTGGGGGAGTGCTGTGAATTTTGCTTTCTCTTGCTCTCCTTTTAAATAATGTGTGATCTGTAAGTAGGAGCAAGACTTTTTACCAAATCAACTGGAGAAAACAGCAGCTTTTCTGGCATGGGTACTGTTCTCTGACAGCATTGGTACAATGTTGCTATAGCAGTGGTGATTTGGGAACATAAGAGATTTGTCTTTTAACTCTGAAGATGGTCTTTTTGCCTCAAAGTTTGTCTGATGCTTTTTTCCAGCTCTATCAGTTATTTCAATACAGCTTACTTCTGCTTGCAGAGCTTATCTTGCTTATATCGTTAGACCATCACACCTACACAACGTAGCTGTTCTCTCCTTTCTGTCACTGCTGGGTGTAAGTGCTCTGAAAGGCAGGCGTGGAACATCAGGTACCTGTAAAATTTGAAAGCTTTTTCTCATCAATGTACCTGGTGATCTTTCTGTCTCAGGCAGTCTGAAAAATTCTCTGTTTTTTGGTACTGTAAAGGTGGGTTAACATGTTCTGCTTAGAGCTCCTTTTTTGTTTGACCTGGTATTTCATCCTTAAGTGACCTTTGGCATAATTAAGGCAAGGAGTTTCCTAATAGGAAATAATACAGAGCCACAAAGCCAAATAACCATAGAGAAACCCTGATGCTTGTTGAGTTACAGGTAAGCAGTGCAACACCGGCCATCACATTTGACCCAGCTACCTTTTAATAATCTGTTTTCTGAGAGTTGCCACCAAGAACAGCAGGGTGCTGGGGAAGATGGTTAGACCAGATCTGAAAGGACACTGCTGGATGTGTGGATAATTGCTAGACAGTACCATGCAGGTTCTCTGTAGCTAGCATCTGCAGTTGTCTTCAGCTGCCTGATTTTGTTCTCATCTGGTAGAGGGGTGCTTATTGAGGAATGGGAGGTACTTACTTGAGGTTGTGCTTGATTGTGTAGCTCCTTTCAACACTGGGATCCATCATCTCCATGCTATCCAAAAACCGTAAGGTCAAAAGCATAGAGTGAGTAGCCCTTCCCCAGCAAAAGTAACTCACTTTGTCCTATGAAATTGAAAAATGGAGTGTGACAGTATGACCTTCCCCAGGAGATGGGTGGAATTCACACCAAAGAGGCAAAACCTAAATGCCCTGTCCAGCAAAATTGCCCACGGTGTTTTATTTTTAAAATCTTCTTTACAGTACAACCATGTTCTTCCACTGGCAGACTCCCTAAATTGTCCCTTTTCTTCTCTGCCCAGATGTTTTCAGTAGCCTTACTGCCACTGCAAAGAGGGATCCTGGAACAGTGTTGAAAACCCTGTCTCCTGTTGATCGGCTGCTTTTCTTAAAACGTAAGTATGATTGAACAAAACTTAGAAGCACCCCGAACACTTACAGCTCAATCACTGACACAGTCAAAGAATGTGTCCTCACACTATCTTCAAAGGGTTCTGATGATTACAGTGATTGTGAGGAACAAGTGCTTGGCACTGCCTGAAAGTCATTATCCTTTTTCATGCTTCAGGTTGGGAAAGAAATTTTACTTTCTATCTGTGAAATCTTGATCATTTGTTTTTATTCAGAACTGACGGTGTGTGAATCAGCTAGTGGCTAATACAATTTTTGAAGAATTTTCAATTCTCCAGTGTGCTCTGTCTTTAATTATATGTCCATCATGTAATGTGTTAAGGGTCAATCTAGAGGTGGTCTTTTTTTCTGGTGTTGGTAGGAAAGATGTACAATGTATTGTTTTACAATTCTTTGCTGGGAATCTCATGGACATTTTTTTTTTATAGAATGAAAAATACTCCTCTTGGAACACACTAACTTGGAGGTGCAGGGACAGCATGTAACCCACTCTACCAGCACAGTACTCTCTCTTGCCCTCCCTACTGAATAACAGCCAGAAGTCGTGTCCACTTGGCCACAGTCCAGCCTCCATTGGGCTGGATCCAGGCCAGAAAACAGACCTTCTCTTACAACAGGCCTTTGCCCCAAGTACCACGGTAATAGGGAATGTTACTGCTTTGAGATTAAAAACAGCTACAGCCCTCATTTGCTGCAGGCCCCAAGCCACATGAAATGTCACACATCAGCAACTCTTTCCACATGTCTTTGCCTCAAACGAAGCAACTGCTCTGTTTCTGGTACTGAGATGAAGATGAGCTGTTAATGAGGCTCTGTGTGTCAGTGAGTGATCTGTTAGTAAGGCTCAACTAATAATGGTGCATCACTGGTTCATGTATTTTAAACGTAACTGATTTTAGGGGCCGCAGCGAGGAAAGAAGGAAATTTGGGGTCCAGCTGTATCTTGCAGTCATAACACATGTACTACTTTATTTTCTGAAACATTACAGATAAGTGTAGAGGGTAAGTCTTTGTTGCAATTAACTGTGCGGTGAATGGACCCTCAGTTGATGTGAGATGTCTGTGCTCTTTAACAGTGAATTGTGGGAGACCTTACTTAGCCTTCCCTGCTTGTGGCAGGAAATTGTGGGAGAGTAACAGAGGACCAACAGAGAATGGAGTGGAGTGGTTTCTGCATTGCTCTGATGGCAGAAGGGAGGATTCCAGCCAGAATGAAAATAGTTTCTGGGCTTTAGATTATGGAATATGCCAGCTAGCCCAGGCTAGATGTATTTAATGGGAGAGGGTTCTATGTGAGAACGCAGGAGAGGAAATAGCAACAAAGTCAAGTGAACCACAGATTAATTCTGTTGCAAAGACAGATTTCACTCATCCAGTAACCTGCTGTATAATTACTTACCATTTTTAAGTTCAACAGCAAAGAGCAAGGAAAATACTGAAGTTCTTGTTTGAATGGGTCTGTTGCTGCCTGTTTTGTGTTTATTTAGTACTATGCTGCCTGTAAACCACAGTGAAAGATTATGAGAACACAGGTTCAAACATGTAGTTCAGATACCCAACACTGCAGAGAAGTCAAAGCAGTCTGGATTTTAAGATATTATCAACACTTGTTTCCCTAACTTTAATTTAAAAAGAAATTTACTCTGAAAAGCAGCTCCAGGATATTAAAGGTATTTGTCGTCTGGCATTTGAAAATCTAAGCTTCAAAGTTTATCTAGACTAAGATTAAAATCATATTCTGTCAAAAAAACAGCTGTGAACTGAGTGAAATATGACTCAGCCAGTTTTCATTGCAACTATCTTTCTATTCAGTTCTCACCCAGATGTATTGTTATATTCTTTTCTTCACTTACAAGAAAAAAATAGATGTGCTTGTTATTTGGAAAGTTTAAAGATACAAGTTAAGTTTACATCTTAATGCCAGTACTCCAGACAGTACCATAATTCATGACAATGTTTGTTCTTTTAGGTACCCAACTCTGACACTGTGTATTGGGTCTGGCTGAGGTGGAGTTAATTCTCCCCACAGCAGCCCTCATGGTGCTGTGCTGTGTATTGGTAGCTAGCGAACTGTTATTAACACACCAGTGTTTTGGCTACTACTGAGCAGTGCCAGCACACATCAAGGCTGTCTCTTCAACATTTCTTTTTCCCCAGCAGCAG